GGAGGTTCCTGGAGTGTGTGGAAGATAAATTCCTAACACAGGCATGAGTCAGCCAACTAGGGAGGGCTCCCCACTGGACCTGCTCTTTGCCAACAGAGAAGGACCTGTGCGTGATGTGACAGTTGGAGGCTGTCTTGGGCACAGTGATCATGAAATGATAGTTTTCTATTCTTGGAGAAGGAGGGGGGGTCAGCAGAACTGCTACCTTGGACTTCTGGGGGACAGACTTTGGCCTGTTTAGGAGTCTGGTTGACAGAGTCCCTTGGGAGGCAGTCCTGAGGGACAAAGGAGTCCAGGATGGCTGGACATTCTTCAAGAATCTTAAACATGTGGGAGCAGGCTGTCCCCATGTGCCGAAAGATGAGCCATCAGGAAGATGACTGGCATGGCTGAACACAGAGCTTTGGCTGGAACTCAGGGGAAAAAAAGAGAGTTTATGACCTTTGGAACAAGGGGCAGGCAATTCAAGAGGACTGCAAGGATGTTGTGAGGTTATGCAGGGAGAAAATTAGAAAGACTAAAGCTCAGCTAGAACATAATCTGGCTACTGCTGTAAATGACAGTAAAAGATGTTTCTATAAATACTTCAACAACAAAAGGAGGGCTAAGGAGAATCTCCATCTTTTATTGGATGCGGGGGGAAACATAGTGACAAAGGATGAGGAAAAGGCTGAGGTACTTAATGCCTTCTTTGCTTCAGTCTTTAATAGTTAGACCAGTTGTTATTGGGGCACCCAACCCCCTGAGCTGGAAAACAGGGACTGGTAGCAGGATGAAGCCCCCATAATCCAAAGGGAAATGGTTAGCAACATGCTGCACCACTTAGATACATACAAGTCTATGGGGCTGCATGGGATCCACTGAAGCGTACTGAGGGAGCTGGTAGATGTGCTCACCAAGCCACTTTTCCATCATTTATCAGCAATTCTGGCTAACTGGGGAGGTCCCAGTTGACTTGAGGTTAGTAAATGTGATGCCCGCCTACAAGAAGGGCAAGAAGGAGGATCCAGGGAACTACAGGCCTGTCAGCCTGACCTCGGTGCCAGGGAAAGTTATGGAGCAGATCATCTTGAGTGCCATCATGCCACATACAGGACAGCCAGGTGATCAGGCCCAGCCAGCATGGGTTTACGAAAGGCAGGTCCTGCTTGACTAACCTCAGCTCCTTCTATGACAAGATGATGCGCTTAGCGGATGAGGGAAAGGCTGTGGATGCTTTTTATCTGGACTTTGGTAAAGCCTTTGACACCACTTCCCTCAGCATTCTCCTGGAGAAACTGGCTGGTCATGGGGTGGACAGGTATACTCTTTGCAGGGTAAAAAACTGGCTGGATGGCCAAGCCCAAAGAGTTGTGGTGAATGGAGTTAAATGCAGTCGGTGGCTGGTCACAGGTGGTGTTCCCCAGGGCTCAGTAGTGGGGCCAGTTCTGTTTAATATCTTTATCAGTGATCTGGACGAGGGGATTGAGTGCGCCCTCAGTAAGTTTGCAGACGACACCACGTTGGGTGGGAGTATGGATCTGCTCGAGGGTAGGAAGGCTCTACAGAGGATCTGGTCAGGCTGGATCAATGGGCTGAGGCCGATTGTATGACATTCAACAAGGCTGAGTGCTGGGTCCTGCACTTCGGTCACAACAACCCCATGCAGCACTACAGGCTTGGGGAAGAGTGGCTGGAAAGCTGCCTGGCAGAAAAGGACCTGGCAGTGTTGGTTGACAGCCGGCTGAATATGAGCTGGCAGTGTGCCCAGGTGGCCAAGAACGCCAATAGCGTCCTGGCTTGTATCAGGAATAGCGCGGCCAGCAGGAGCAGGGAAATGATCGTTCCTTTGTACTGAGCACTGGTGAGGGCACACCTTGAATACTGTGTTCAGTTTTGGGCCCCTCAGTACAAGAAAGACATTGAGGTGCTGGAGCGTGTCCAAAGAAGAGCAACAAGGCTGGTGAAGGGTCTGGAGTACAAGCCCTATGAGGAGCGGCTGAGGGAGCCAGGGTTGTTTAGCCTGGAGAGAAGGAGGCTGAGGGAGACCTTATCGCTCTCTAGAAGTGCCTTAAAGGAGGCTGTAGTGAGGTGGGTGTTGGTCTCTTCTCCCAGGTAGCAAGTGATAGGACAAGAGTAAATGGCCTCAAGTTGTGCCAGGGGAGGTTTAGATAGGATATTAGGAAAAATTTCTTCACAGAAAGAGTAAAAGCATTGGAACAGGCTGCCTAGAGAGGTGGTGGTGTCACCAGCCCTGGAGATATTTAAAGGACTTGTAGATGTGGTGCTTAGGAACATGGTTTAATGGTGGACTTGTCAGCGTTAGGTAAATGGTTGGACTCGATGATTTTAAGGGTCTTTTCCAACGTAAATGATTCTATGGTTCTAAATGTACAGTTCTCTCTTCTTGGCACTGAGTATAGTCAGCAGTTCAGGTTGAGGCTTAAGGGGTTGCGAGTGATTGAATGTTTTCACATTTCCTGGTAACTGCTCTCCATGTCTGGGATGATTAATAGAATTTGAAACAACAATTGTTGCACACCAGGAAGCCTGCAGGTTTTTATCTTTCAATCTTCTGGCTCTTTTACATAATACTTTGCTTTCCTTTCCATGGTAATGTGCAAATCTTGCAGTATTACATATTCTCTTTGTCTTAGTAAGGTCCTTGTGACTACAAATTCTGACTAATTTGGACTTCATCAATTTGATTTTAATGAATTTCAGTTCATTAAACTTATTTCCCTGTGTGTCATCATCATCCTTTGTCTGGAACATAATTATTTCATACCAGATCTCAACAGATTTGAGAGAGGATTGCAATAAAATACATGACTATGAGAAAAGACCACATTAATACTTCTGCTGTGGGGGTATGAAGAAAGTGATTCAATATGAAGACTCTAACAGGATTTAAATTAAAATTGTTTTCATAAGAGGCATAAGTTGCTTTATAATTGTTTGGAACTCTGCTCCAAGCCTGTTTCTAGCCAACAACTCTTTAAAAAAAATAGTCAGAAATGTGAGAGCTAAAGCTGTTTCTTTACAACAGTGATTAATGAGTTAAATACAGTTTCCAACTCTGTATTCCTGTTGAGTTCAATAGTACTGATGTACGTGCCTGTTAGCAGTCAAGGCAAGGACACTGAAGACTGAATCAATGAAGATTGAATTATCCTCCTTCTGTTAGAGGAAGCTTCTTCAGTGCAGGGTTGAGATGCACTGGGATCAGGAATTTTGCTTTCAAGTTGGCTGTCCTGTAGACAAGGGGAGGAATTTGGTTACCAGTAGTCTTGATTTAGCATCCTGAGTTTTTAGTTTAGAAGGGTGGCTGCCACAAAGATGTATAGACAGAGAAGTAAACAAGCTATATCGCCTTGGTTGCTGTTGCATAAGAAATCTAAGAGCTTGCTAGAGATTCTGTAAAACACTGAGACCACTGTTGGCATCAAGTAGTAACAATGAGAAGAAACATGAAAGGAAGTTTTATTTTCAGTGTCCTTTCAAACTATAATAAAAACCAGAATAAAATGACAAATTTTATTTATTGTGACAAATATGATTTATTGTCACTTCTTCCCTCCCTCCCCCAGCGCCCCTACCTCTACTAAAGACACTTTGTGGGCTCTTCCACTGCACATGAGTTTTGACCAAAGCATGCAACAAAGGCTTGAAGTTACCCTTGCCTAGCTTTCTGAAGTCCTATTTAATAAGTCTTTATTTTAATTTCTAGCTATTCTTCCATTCACTTTTGATTACTTTGCTACTGCCAGCTAGAATTAAAAAGATACATTTGTCTCAAAAGTAATTATGTCTTTTAAAAAAAATCAACAATTGGGTATATGACTTAAATAAGCCTCTTAAAACCATTGTGTAGAGTTGGATATTCCTTAAAATAGTTGGATAGAGACTTGAGAGAAAGACAAGCAGAGCTATTGGTACTGCTGGTGTTTGGTACCAGCCAGCCCATTGTAATGTGAATAGCTCCAGCCACAGTAATGGTTTTTGTCTTAGTTGGGTGTTCTGGTGACAAAGTGAGATGGAAGAATTTAGGAGAGCGAGGACGCACGCGTGGATATAACAAGTTGCAGAAGTCACTAGCTTATTTTTTAAAAAAAAAGTTTTGTAATGTTGAGTATTCTCAATATTGATAATCCAGACCACAGCTTCTGGGATCTGACATTCTGTTTTGATCAAATCCAAATGGTTTCCATCTTATTTTTCTTTTCAGTTTGTGGACTTCTTAAAGCTAATTAAATATAAGCATAGTGAAACACTTTAAATGTATTCTTTGTCCATTTTTTGATCCACATCAGAAATCTTAAGAGTTGTTTTAATTTATCATGTTTACATATTCCTTTATATTCTTTTATTTAGCCTTCTGGAGTAAAAGAAAGGCCTAATTTACTAATATCTCAAACTTCAATTAATTCTTTCAGTGTGTTGTGTTGGTTTAAGTGACATTATGCTGATAATTCATAACTTTATTTAAACAGCTCAAGGATTTGTACATCATCAGAGAAGGCCAGGATCAGGATACCTAAGCTTTTTCCCACATAATTTCTTAAGTAAAAAACCTGTCCCTTCTTTTGAGATTTGCTATTTTCACAGATAATTTATATATTGCTAGAGAGGGAAGAATGCACATGACTTGAATCAAGTTTTCAAAAAAGAGGGCATTTTAAACAACTGACCACTTTCAGAAATGTCAATTTCGGATCATAGGTTTTAAGTCCAAAAAAGACCAATATTCATACCTAACCTAGTTCATGGAATATTAATGAAGATGTTTCATTTAGCAGTTCATCTTATTTCTGAGGAAATTTTCCATATACTTTTAAGCTATTTTTCATGTTAGTACATTTACTGCTTTGAGCAAACTGGGGTAGAAGAGCCGATAGCTATTTTCAAAAAGGTGTATAAATCTTGCATGAAATTGTGGTGCTGTATGTTACTTCCTTAATGAATAAAAGCAGTTGGCTCAAATATTCTGTGTATGTTTTTGTCGTTTTGTCTTTTGGCAGGATGATGAGGCAGGGGAAGAATATAGTGAAAATAATTTCTATGAATCTGATGAAGAACAGAAAGAAAAGGATCGGAAAGTGAAAGCCACCTATATTATGGACCCAGATCACAGGCTGCTGTTACGAAATACAAAGCCCTTGCTTCAAAGCCGAAATGCTGCTGTATGACAAATTCCTTTTTGCTTTAAATGTTAAACTACTAAGTATCTATGCTTCTAGAAAATGTAAAAAATTGAAAAGTAAAATCTACACCTCTTGAAAAGTGGTGATAATACTCTCTAGTAACTTACAAAAGTATGGCACTTCTTCCTTTTTTGAAATTAACTTAGTTTCTAAGTAAAACACCTGAACTAAATGTGATACATGCTCCAAATATTAAGGACAAAACAAAATATTAGAAAAAATATCAGTGTTTGAACCCAACTTCCATAGCATGTGATGACTATACCATAGCTAGCTTTTAATGCTCTAAGTTCTCACAAACGATGGTGGTTTGGTGGTACAGATTCACAAAGAAAATCATAGGTGTTATTGATTCATTAAGTTGTGCTTTCCTGCAAGTCTCACATTTTAAAAGTAGACAATTATATGCCTAAATTCTTTTTCAATCCAAACCAGATTCTTAGTGTTGGTGCCTTGGCACGGGTCCAGGATAGATAGGACGTCATGAGTGTGGTATGCTCCACGATATTTCCATGAGATTTTAAGATGCAGGTAAATTTTTAAAACTGGAAAAAAGCCATGCTGATGGTAAATTATTGTGACATTACTCAGATCACAGAAGTTTATTTCTGACCTGAGTTTGCCCTGTTAACCAAGACTAGATGTCTTTAGGAAAAGAATTCCAGTAATAATGAATATTCATATCATTGAAAAATAATTACTGCACCATGATTAAGTCACCTTCCAACCTGTTCTTGATAAACTGAACAGATCAGGTTTTTGTTTCTCTCCTGGAACATATTTCTAGAGTCTGACTAATGTCTAACTCTTTTCAAAACCACTTATAATCTGCCCACAGTCTTTGGAAACAAATTGAATACAGTTTTACAATAATAGTTCTGTTAGAGCAGTCTTTTGCTAAAATCACTGTTCAATGTCCGTATGATATTTCCTCATCTCATGCGAAGAACAATTATGTTAGATATGTTTGCCATCCCACTGCACTGAGAACAGGTTCAGTTGTTTATCTTCCACATTCCATAAATAATTTTATTTCTATCTGTTCGATATGGTATTGATTCTCACATTTATGATCTTTATCTTTCTGATATTAAAGTTAACTGAGATGCTTAAGTGCAGTTTTGTCAAGTGAAATCATACTTCTTTGAATTGCTATTATACTAATTTTTGTACCATTCACAGAATTTACCAGCAATTAAATTAATTGCTTTCTCTTCAACCTTAGACTTTTGCCAGTAATAAGAGATCCCTGTAGTATATTGCTAAAAATCTTCCAGTTATTTCCTCTTTTCAGATGTGTTTAATAACTTTGTTGTTTATTTTTATTGTTTAATAATAATTTTTGTTTCATTGGTACTGAGATTTAAGATACCAAGTGAAGTGTCATAATCATGGCTTCACTTGGAGTGTCCTTTCTATGATTTGTTTTATTTTGAACAGAAAGTTGACCATTATAGTGGAATAAGGGTGTGACATGACTTATTCATTAGCATAAAGTTCATCATTTGTCTTTTACTTATGAGAAAACTTCAAAAGAAAAAAAGTAAGTTTGGGTTTTAAGTTGCTTATATCTCAGTCTTCTGCTTTTTGCTAGCCAGGATGTTGGTATACAATCCTGTAGTTTTTACTTTCTGTTGGATTTGAGACTTCAGAAGTTGCCAGTAAAGGCAGCTGTCATTTTATAAATTGCATAATAGAATAATGGAATGAAAGATTTTAAGTGGAAACTAAGTAATAGGTAATGTTGAACCTGTGTATAATAAAAGTACAAAATGTGCAGAAGTTTTAAACAGTATTTCCTCATTAATTTGTACAGCTGATGTTAGCAATACTGATTTATTAAGGATGATATCAGGATGTTTACAATTTGAATTACCTACATTTTTTCTCTTTTTGTCCTCTGTCTTTCTCTGTAATATAGTATATAATAAATACTGGGAGGAATGAGAGATACTTAATGAGCTTTGATTTTAGAAATAAAAATATCTTTCTTCAGATGCGTTCCCCCGATCTGCTTTGTTGATTTCAAAGAATGTGGGTATGCACCTTGCTTTCTGAAGAAGAGTGAGCTGGTAGTTCTGCAGGTCTGAAGCAAATGTGATAGATATGTATGACGATTTGAAGTTAACATGCTGTTCTGAATATTATTCTTTTAGGTGGTAATGGCAGTTGCACAGCTTTACTGGCATTTGGCACCAAAATCCGAAGCTGGTATTGTTTCTAAGTCATTGGTGCGTTTACTCCGTAGCAATAGGTAGGTCAAGTCTGTACTTTACATTGCTATGTCTACTTTTTTGTGAGAATTTTTTGTACATACTTGTTTAGTGTAGTTATAAGAATATAACTACTGCACTGTGTAGAGTTTCATTTAAAAATTGTCCTGTAATATTAATTTTTACTGAACAAATGAGTATCATTAAAAGTAATTCCATCATTTCTAGTATCACATCCAGTGATCATTCAGTATCGTGTTTCATTCTTAACTATGACTTTCATTCTGAGAAGAATCATGGCTGCCTAGTTAGCGTACAAATAGAGGCAGTAGTAACTAGTTTGCTTAGTTTCTCGATTTTTTTAAGTATTGGAAGTTATTGGCAGTTTAATTATATTGGCATTCCTTACTGTCTTGGTAGGCACTAACGAAGTCTTCACATGTGTATTTTCCTTTCCTGCACTTTATATTGAAGACTTCTTGTTGACAGGGAAACTAAGAAACCTATTTGTTAAAATGCCACTTAATGCTGCTGAATTCCCTATGTTTCCTTAATCCTTGGACTGTTTTTAAAGAACAAGTTTATATTTCATTCAGGCCATCTAATTTTGACTTTATCATCTTCAATGTGACCTTGTCTACTTTCCTATGAAGGGTCTTACTGGCCACATGTTTCATAAGATTGATAATACTCTTTTTTTCTTTCTGTTTGATAGTTTTGGCATATTATGCCAATATTTGCTGTATAAAAGTGGATGTTTTTCCCCTCAGTTTTTAGATTTTGAACTTGAAAAGCCTTGTGGAGACACAATATTAAGATGTTTTCAGAATAACTTTCTAACTAAACATGGTATTTTTGGTTAAAACTTCACTGTGAAAATTATTTCTTTTTTCAAGTTGGTCACATTGAACAGACAAAAAGCTTTTTTAAAAAAATTGTTTTTGTTCTGTCTGACAAGATTACTCATCTTAGACAGGCTTTAACTTTTGTAAGCCCAGTCACTATAGAGCTCTTTCTCTGCAAACTTCTGCAGCTCGCCCGTGGCTAATGTCTCTATCATTTAAAAGTTAGTAAAGAAGTAAAATTGGGCTTGGTAGAGTATTTTTGCTTTTATTTCAGATAAAAATGGATCGCTGTTGTTTTTGTGTTTGGTTTTATAGTACAGTATGCTTCTCATTCTCTTTATACAAAGATAATTAAGATGGCTAGAGCAGTTTGGCATATGTCCAGGTAACGTATAGAACTAAACTCATACTCACAGGTTGACAGGATTATTTTTGCATGTTGTTTATTGCTCATTGATACTCAGATTTCATCAGAAGAGAAGTCACATCTTTCCTGTACCTCAACTAGTGCCTAAAATGGTGCTAGTCTTCTGATTTTCCTGTGTTGAATGGCTTGTCTGTTCTCTGTTACCAGTCTGTATGAAACACTTTTGCTATTAGAGCCACTTTGAAATAAGCTTTTGCTGTTTGCCCTTGAAGTTATGTGCCTATGGCCTTCAAATTAATGTCAAATACGCTATAATCTAGTTAGGGTGAGAGTGCCTGGAAGAGCATTTCATAGCAATTTCCAGTCTTGGTTCATCATGTGCAGCTGACTATTTCCATGTACCTATGTAAGAATTACATAAAAATAGGTTTAAAAGATATTAAGTACTTCTCTATTATTACTTTTCTTTGTAAGCAACAGCTGTAATTACCACAGGGCTATTAGACAGTTTTGAATAAGAGGAGGTAATGGATGTGATGATTTCTCTATTAGGATGTGATTTGCATCATGAAAGAATTTGAGCACTCATGGTTCAGAAAAATTGCATGTAAATTATTACTTAGTTTTTAAACAATTGGTGGCAGCAACTCTGTAGTTTAAAAGCTTTAGGCTAGGACTCAGATTTCTTTTTGCTCACCGCTGCTGAGGCTTTTAAACTAATGCATTAATGATGAGAATATCCTCCAAACATGTTTAATGTTTTTATGTTTAGAATATTACATAATTCTGTTGTCTGTATCTTGACAAAGTCTATTATGTTAAAGTGCTGCTTTTTGATAGATGCATATGCCCACCAGTGTATACTCTTTTAAGTCACAGGAGACCCTTGCCCTTTTTGACGATTATTAGGAAATGTTTTTAAGACCAAAACAGTCATAGCAATTATTGCTAGTTGTGCAAGGATTAGCTGTTCTTGTAACTAATGTAGTCATTTCCACACACAGATAAAGCCCATGTGGTTTTGTTTTCAGCTGTGTCATCCTGAAATATTTAAGTTTCAAGATGGTGGACAGAATATAAGGTTTTTGCGAGCTGTTTCTGGAGATGCCAGAATGGCGATGTTTTAATTGAATTTTTGGTTTAAACAAAGACCCAATGCCTACAAGAAGCATTGCAACATTGCGCTGGTGTCAGTGATTTTTTTCATATTGAAGTTTTTAAAAATGAGAGCCTGATTTCATCGTCCATCTTCCTGTGAAGCAGATGATGAACTTGTAGCAGTTGGCAATAAGCTTTTTTCCTTCTATGTTTGTGCCAACTCAGATGTATAACTGACTTTGGATTCAAATAGAATTGGACTTTCTTTGCCATGTTGCATTATTCTATGTATCTGTAATTTTGTAGAATAACTCTTGTTTTTCTTTTCAAATTCTAGGGAGGTGCAGTATATTGTTCTGCAAAATATTGCCACTATGTCAATTCAGAGAAAGGTATGCCCTGTTTGGAATTTTCTAAATCATATTTTATGTGAAACACAGGCTAGCTACTCAAATATGTTCTGCTTTTCAGGGTATGTTTGAACCTTATCTGAAGAGTTTCTATGTTAGATCAACTGATCCAACAATGATCAAAACACTGAAGGTGAGTTTAAAAGCAAATTTGTCTATGTACTGCTGGACAAATCTGTTTGCAACAGGAAGGTAGAATTTTCTTGCACTGATATGACACACATCATTTTGTGCCATTTTTTTCACTAAGTGTAGACTTGTGACTTTTAGTTAAGTCCACAAGTATCCTTCAGGCTTGTCAGGCTATCTGAAAGTACTCTTGTTACCATATCGTAGATGGCAGATGGGCTGTGTTTTCCACTACAGCTTTTGGTACCTTTCAGTGATGCGGAGCATTACTATTTTTATCTAGCCAGCCATTCAAACATACAGGGTTTGACTGTTTTCATGGGAGGAGAAATCTTCTCAAATGAAGAGAAATTCAATCACACAGTCTTCAATACTGTTAGCTTAAAAAAAATTTAAATCTGTTTCCCTGAGACAAATTGGGACAATGTTAGAGTCCCAAATTCCCTTTGAAGTCAGCACTCGACGTGAGAAGTACTTTAGGCTTTCCTCAAGGCCACATCTTAATGCATGTTTTACGCTGTCATCTTCTTGGTTTCTCTATTCTTAGTCTTTAACAGACGTGAAATCCTTGACAAAACAATAGCTAAAAAATTCTCTACTATTAGGTGCCTTTTCTCGTGTTTTGCTTTAGCTTGTCATAGGCACTTGTGTTTAGGTGAGGAGGGTACAGGTTTCTTAAAGAAACATTATTTTTTCCTTATTTTCATTTTACATCCATGTTGTACCCTCATTACATGTGCAGAGTGGTGCAGTCCAAGATGGCTATGCCCAACCCATCATATTTTTATTAGTCCAGCATTAAATGTAAGTAAATGTGAGGCAGTTGGAGGCAAAAAGAACTTCCCCACGTGTAATAATTATGAAAACTGTAAGGAGTACTAGTAAGACATAGTGTGATCAAGGAAAAGTCACTCCTGAAATAATTGACAATTGATATATTTAAATTCCCATATGAATTGATAATACAATGGTGAAGAGGTGGAGAAGTAGCAATTGTGGGCTTTCCTTTCATTGTCTCAGTTCTTTCTTAGTGCCTGAAAAGTTCAGGACAACCTACACTGTTACATACATATGAAAACCTTGTGCTTTTCTCCACCGCCTTCCCCCATAGTTCCATCCTATCTGGTTTAAGATAGGAGGACGAGACCTATGGTAGTATTTTAAGATGTAGTAGCACCCTGGAATTCATCTGCTGCACTGTTTAGATTTCTGGTTTGTTCTGTTTCTTTCCCAACATGAAGTTTGCTTTTTTGATCCCTGCTTAGCATTGAGCTTATATTTTCATCAAGTTATCTATTTTAAGCACAGATTCTCAGTTATAATTGGTAGTAATCAGCTCAGAGCCTATCATTTTCTGTAAGTTAAGGTTTTTCCCCAATTATGAGCATTACTTACATTTATCTGTGCAGGTTTTTTGCCATTTTACCAACCAGTCACCTAATATTTGAAGTGTTTATGCAGCTTTTCTTAGCCTTTGTCTTCATTTCTCTGAAAACTGTAGTATTAGCTGAAAACTTTGTCACCTGTCTTCTCATTTCTTTCACAGTTCATATCTGAATATGTTGAAAACAAAAGACCAACAAAGATATTTGTGGGATTCCATTGATAGACTTCCTGTACTGTAAAATAGTCTCCTTATTTTCATGCCTGTTCCTCTCTTCAGTTTGTCCACTTGCTTTGTATGCTATGCTAGATATGTACCTTTAAGAGCCTTTGGTGACAGGTCTTATCAAATTGCTTCTGAAGTACACGTGGACTGTACCAATTAAGTGTCCTTGTCTGTGTGCATCCAACTCAAAACATACCAACAGATTTCTGAGGCATGACTTCCTGTTACAGAGTTGCCTTTTTCTTCAGTTTGCCTCATTCAGATTGTATTGGAATTCTTTCTTCTTCAAAGTTAAAACAACCTCAAAGCATAGCATCTTAACAATATATGCCAAGTGTTGTATATCATCCTCTTGTTCACCATCAAAAAGAAGAGGCAGAGGCCTTTCAGGGTCTGATGTTGTTGATGTTGATTAAGATCTGAGGAGTCTCATAGATGCAACTGTTTCTTTCCTGAGTTTAAAGGTCTTTTATTGCAGTGCATCGGAATATAATGGATAAAAGTATTTCAAGCCCATTTGATATGCAGTGCAACACTAAAGCTAGAGCTCTGTGATGGTTTAACCCCAGTCAGCAACTAAGCACCACACAGGTGCTTGTTCACCCTCCCCACCCCTGGTGGGATGGGGGAGACAATTGGGAAAAAAAAGTAAAACCCAGTGGTTGCTTCTAGCATTGTAAGCACATGGCTCTTGCCTTGGCGAGTTTGTGGGAGTGTGCTATAATCAGTCTGCCGGGCCTCCCCATATTTATATTTCAGCCATCATCCTCCATACCAGAGAGGCTTTAACTGCTTGGCTTGCTTGATTGCAGTGCATGTTTCACATTCATGGATAACCTGTGCAGTAGTGTCCATGGTCAAGTCCACCCCTCTATCATGAGCCCATCTATATGTTGCATCTCTTCCTTGATGGCCTGAGGTGTCATGGGTCCACTGAGCTATAAATAATTCACCCTTATGTTGCCAGTCTAGATCCGCCTGAGCCACTTCAATCTTAGCAGCCTGATCCACCTGCTGGTTATTTTGATGTTCTTCAGTGGCCCAACTCTTGGGTACATGAGCATCTACATGACATACTTTTACAACCAGGTTCTCTACCCAGGCAGCAATATCTTGCCACAATGCGGCAGCCCAGATGGGTTTGCTTCTGCGCTGCCAGTTGTTCTGCTTCCATTGCTGCAACCACCCCCACAGGGCATTTGCCACCATCCATCAGTTTAGAGATAAAGTACTGGCCACTTTTCTCGTTCAGCAATATCTAAAGCCAGCTGGATGGCTTTCACCTCTGCAAACTGACTCAATTCCCCTTTTCCTTCAGCAGTTTCTGCAACTTGTGGTATAGGACTCCATGCAGCAGCTTTCTACCTCCAGTGCTCTCCCACAATACTACAGGACCCATCAGTGAACAGGGCATACTACTTTTCATTTTCTGGCAGCTTATTATACAGTGGGGCCTCCTCAGCATGTGTCACCTCCTCCTCTGGTGATGTTCTGAAATCTTTGCCTTCTGCCCAGTCCATGATCACTTCCAAGATTCCCGCGCAACTGGGGTTTCTTATTCAAGCCCATTGTGTGATCAGTGTGACCCTCTTACTCCATGTAGTATCAGTTGCATGATGTGTAGAGGGGGACCCTCCCTTTGAACACCCAGCCCAGCACTGGCAGTCAGGGTGCCAGGAGGATTAGACTGTAATTTGGCATATGCGTTCTCCAAAAGCCTACAGCGTCTGAGAAAGCTTGTGTTTCCTTTTTGCTGGTTGGTGGGGACATAGCTGTTATTTTGTTGATCACATCCATTGGGATCTGACGATGTCCATCTTGCCATTTTATTCCTAAGAACTGGATCTCCTGTGCATGTCCCTTGACCTTACTTTGTTTTATGGCAAAACCAGCTTTCAGAAAGATTTGGACTATTTTCTTCCCTTTCTCAAAAATCTCTTCTGCTGTATTGCCCCATATGATGATGTAATCAATGTATTGCAGGTGTTCTGGAGCTTCACCCTCTTCCAGTGCTGTCTGGATCAGTCCATGACAAATGGTAGGGCTGTGTTTCCACCCCTGGGGCAGTCGATTCCAGGCGTACTGGACGCCCCTCCAAGTGAAAGTGAACTGTGGCCTGCACTCTGCTGCCAAAGGGATTGAGAAAAATGCATTAGCGATATCAATTGCGGCATACCACTTGGCTGCCTTTGACTCCAGTTCGTATTGAAGTTCTAGCATGTCTGGCACAGCAGCACTCCATGGCAGCGTGACTTCATTCAGGCTGCAATAATCTACTGTTAGTCTCCACTCTCCATTAGAATTTCATACTGGCCATATGGGACTGTTAAAGGGTGAGCGAGTCTTGCTGATCACTCCTTAGCTCTCCAGTCAACAAATCAGCTTATGGATGGGAATCAGGGAGTCTCAGTTGATGTGATATTGCTGCCGGTGCACCACTGTGGTGGCGATTAGCACCTGTTGTTCTTTGACCCTCAGCCACCCCACAACAGAAGGGTACTCCAAGAGACCAGGCAAGGTGGACAGCTGTTTATTTTCCTCTGTCTCCAAGGCAGCTATACCAAAAGCCCACTGGGTACCCTTTTGGGTCCTTGAAATGCCCTCTCCTGAGATAGTCTATGCCAAGGATGCACGGAGCCTCCGGGCCAGTCACAGTGGTGTGCTTCTGCCACTCATTCCCAGTTAGGCTTACTTTGGCCTCCAATACAGTTAGCTGTTGGGATCCCCCTGTCACTCCAGAAATACAGAAGGGTTCTGCCCCTGTGTAGCTTGATGGCGTTAGGGTACACTGTGCACCAGTGTCCCCTAGTGCCTTATACTCCTATGGGTCTGATGTGCCAGGCCATTGAATCCACACAATCCAGTAAATCCAGTTGTCCCTTTCCTCTGCCTGGCTGGAGGCAGAGCCCCTCTAGCCCTTGTCATAGTATTTGTTACTCATTTCTTGTAAATACAAGTCAGAAGTCCCTTCTTCATTAAGGTCAGATGTAAGATCAGCCATTCTGCTCTGTCTGGGGAACTACCCACTAGAAACTGGAGCAGCAATTTTCCTGGAAGAACCCCCTTGTGTGATTGCTTTTCCTTGCAACTCACACACCCATGCCTCTAGGGTCGAGGTAGGTTTTCCATCCCACTTCCTCATGGCCTCTCCATGGTCGCACAGGTAAACCCACAGGTGGCCTGTGGTGTGTACTCTCTATATCCTCTCTCTGGAACAGAAGAATGCTGACTTGTAATAGCTGAGATATTGGTCTGTATAAGTGGAGAGAGAGTAGGAGCTATTCTCTTTGAGTTGCTGGACCTCCCAGGACAATTTCTCTACAGCTGAGACAAGGGAGGAAGAGATACTTTCTTCATATTTCCAGAGTTGGCCAGCCACTTCATCCGCTGTTGGTGCCTCTTCATCTTTCCAGGTTAGTATTGCCAACAAGTTGTCCTACAACAATGGTGCGCTCCGTACCAACTTCTGCCACATGGGCCATATGCGCTGGACTTCATCTGGATCTTTGGATAACTGCTTATTGTTCAGGTTGCTATAAATCACCTCCAGCATGGCTAATTCCCTCAGGTACTGGATATCTCTCTCCATGGTGGTGCATTTGCCTGGGTGATATGTAACATCTTCCTTGAAGGCATACCTTTCCTTCATGCCTGACAGTAGTTGCCTCCAGAGGCCAAGGACTTGTGCTCCTTTTCTAAGCCCTTTGTCAATGCCCTCTTCCCTAGAAAGGGATCCCAGCTGTTTGGCTTCGTTACCCTCTAATTCCAGGCTACTGGCCCTGTTATCCCAGCATCGGAGTAGCCAGGTTGCAATGTGCTTGCCTGGATGACAGCTGAAATCTTTTCACATGTCTCTCAGCTCACTCAAGGATAAGGATCGGGTGGTTTCCATCTCATTTACGAGTTCTCCCTCTTCATCCTCCTTTCCTTGGGATGGCCCTGTTTTTTCATCATCCCTTTCTAAACAAGGTGACTTTTGCTTCCAAGATTTCTTCTTGTGTATGAGGGTGACTGATACCAACACGGGTTGGTTCTCTGGTTCAGCTACAGTGCCTTTTACCGGCATTGGAGTAGCCGCAGTGCCTGTTGTGAGGGCTAGAGTAACTGCAGTGCTTGTCACCAGTGTTTGAGTAGCCACAGTGCCTGTCACAGGGGTTGGAGTAACTGCAATATTCTTAAATAGTTGTTTAACCCTAAGCAAGACCTGACACACATTCAGGAGACATAGCAATAGGAACATGCTGGTTTGAACATCCCAAGGATATTCAAAATTCTCAAGAGCTATTATAATTAGGCTGGAGAAGAAGGGGAAGATGGAGGAAGGTATCTCCCCCACAGGTTGGCTCTCTGAGGAGAAAAAGTAAAAAGTGTAATTATTAATATTTTCTGATAGATGGCTCCTGAAGTACAGAGGTGATGGCAGTGCTGAGTACAAATACAAGATTAGTCTCATGATGAATAATTTTATCATGCCTTAAGCCAGTGTTGCACAGTACAGCAAAGCAATAACCTTAGTCCATTTCCCAGAGGTGATAAACAGCACATAAATACTGATAAACAGTATATACCGCAAGTAAGGTGTTACATAACACAACTGTGAGAACAAATACAACAACTCTGAGAGCAAGTAAATCAACATTGTGACCAGCAATTACTAAACTAATACAAGAAATGCTTAAAACAAATTTGTTTTAACACACTCTGGTCAGATCTGTCATTATCTCAACGCTTTGAGCCTCACATTGGGCACCAAAATAGGACTGTTGTGGTTTAACCCCAGTCGGCAACTAAGCACCACACAGGTGCTTGCTCACCTCCCTGCTCCTTTACCCCCGTGGTGAGACGGGGAGAGAGCCAGAAAAAAAAAAGTAAAACCTGTGGGTTGAGATAAAGGTAGTTTAGTAGGACAGCAGCAGAAGAGAAAATAATAATAATGATAAAAGAATAAACAAAACAAGTGATGCACAATGCAATTGCTTACCACCTGCTGACCAATGGCCAGCCAGTCCCTGAGCAGTGATCGCTGCCCCCGGCCAACTCCTGCATCTCATTTGCTGAGCATGACACCATATGGTATGGAATAGCCCTTTGGCCAGTTTGGGTCAGGTGTCCTGGCTGTGGCCCCTCCCGTCTTCTTGTGCACCTGGCAGAGCATGGGAAACTAAAAAGTCCCTGACTAGTGTAAGCACTACTTAGCAACAGCTAAAACATCAGTGTGTTATCAACATTATTGTCATACTAAATCCAAAACACAGCACTATGCCAGCTACTAGGGGGAAAATTAACTCTATCCCAGCTGAAACCAGGACAAGCTCATAGAAAATGCATCACTGAACCCTAGAGTCCTGCTCTGAAAACCTTGCATGTACTTGCAAGGAGAATATTCCTCCTGAGTGCAATACTGCTACCAGTTTATACTGAAATCTGGTATACTCTATTGAATTCTAAGTGGTATTTTTAGTAGTATTATCTTTTATTTATATACAATGAAAGTATAGTGTAATGTGGTACTGTTTATAATATTTTATTTTAGCTTTCAATAAAATATCCGGGTTTTTTTTTTTTGTAGCTTGAAATCTTGACAAATTTAGCAAATGAAGCCAACATATCAACTCTGCTTCGAGAATTTCAGGTTTGTGCAAAAGTATATTCTTTTTATATGAAACGCTCTCTGTTGGCCAATTGCCATTATTGGATGTTTCATCTAGATTCTTAGTCTTAAATTTTTCAAGTTAAAGTCTTTTCCAGGATAAAATGTTCTCAGAATGGAAATGAAACTGTCTTATATCATAATGGAGCTTTCTATATGCAGAAAGGAGTTTCAGTGTTTTGTTTCTCACTCTCCTTCCAGCTATCAAAAAAAAAAAAAGATGAGAAAAACTCAATCATGCCAAATTCTCAAAACATATTCTACCAACTTGACTGACACTGTGAGTCACTAGATGATAGGGTCTTAATTTTAGCAATATTTGGCCATTAGCATTTATTGCCAAACCTCATTTCTGTAAGTAATTTGATGAAATAGTATTGTCTCCAATATCTCTATATGTATCAGCAAGGTGTTCTGCCTATATTGTGAAACAGTGTCTGTCCTTCTTTCTTTCCTTTTTGCTTGTGACATCTATTTTCATTGCTTCAGTTCTCTGGCAGGATTTCTCTGAAAGGTACTGGTTCTCAGGGAGGTAGGTTATTCATAGTTTCACAGATGCTCCTGGTTAAATGAACTGGAACCTCTCTGAAGAGAGAGCTCGTCAACTCCTCCAACCTTGCACACAAACTAATTGCTGGTTTTGGGTAATTGCCCCCTGCCCCAAGCTTTCTTGAAATCAGAGGTTTGCATGGCCATGGGTGATGAAAGCCAGCAAGAAAATGTCTTCTGAAAGTGACAACAAGGTGAAAAAGCTTTCTAGATTGAATTTATTATACATTATGTCTGTCTTATGAGGATAATGTGGTAAGTCTTTGGTTGACAAGACTTATGTATTGACTAATGAAATTTCTGTTTCCTTAGACTTACGTGAAAAGCCAAGATAAACAGTTTGCTGCAGCTACAATTCAGGCTATAGGCAGATGTGCAACTAACATCACCGAAGTGACTGACACATGCCTTAACGGCCTCGTATGTTTGCTGTCCAACAGGGATGGTAAGCTAAATGTTCAGTTTGTTTTCTGAGTAGCTGATGGCATGAAACCTTTTCTTAATGAGAACCACACAGAGCAGATCATGTTAAAAAGTATATGGGAGTTGACTTTTATAAGAATTTAGCTGACATGACTGGATAAAAATAGTGTTTCTCATGCTTCTTCTTGTTCGAAGCACTTTAAAAGGCTCTTGTAATCACTGGGTACTTATTTGCTCTTTTGTTAGTGAAATTAATTCCTTATGGCCTCCAATTACATATTTACCTGTTTTTTCTCAAAATGGTGTAATTATTAAAGGGTGCTGTTGTGATTATCACAGATGACAGTAGTTTTACTGTTACATGTTTAGTTGCATCAAAACAGTTAGCCTGTAGAGGGTGCTGAAAGCTTGGAATGTTTCTGGGTTTTTTTTTATTTAGTGCATCAATGCCTAACTGAAAAAACATATTAAATAGTTTTAGGATAAGCGGCCCCAAATTTGGCTTGAATTTGTAATCTAGCCTTCTGTTATTTTTGTATAGTGAAATGGAGTTGCAAGTCACTAAGGAACACAACAAGGAGCAGATAAAGTCAAATAAGATATAGCAGCAGTGTAATTCAATACCTGATAATATTGTATATTCTTACCAGTTATCAGTGAATATTGCACAGAAGTCATCACTAAGAGAATTGGAAGATTATTATATAATGTACAGTCTACATGAATATGGTTAAATATTGGAAATAACAAAGGTACAGTTAAAAATAATAATGTCAGGAAGGAGGAAAAGTATGGTTTTGGGGTGGCCTGGAGTAATTAGAGTTGTTCAGAGAACACAGGTGAGATCTACTCTAAGCTTTGAAAAGCAGCATTAATTCCTCTCCATATCTACTGGACATATTTTTTGTGGTAATCCTAAGAAGGCCTTTATTAGGGACATCACTTTGGCACCACATAGTCCTCCTGTGACCCGCTGATACACTCAGAGCCCTCTCTTATTTGGTTTATGAACTACGAGTCCTCCTTCTCTCCCACTTCACCTTGTATCAGAAATTCCCGAGGTGCATCAGTATATAGTTTGGTAGTTTTAATGTATATAACCTTAATTTCTTAGTGCTCCAGACCTCATGTCCCTTTATGCTTTTCTGGTTAACAGCTGTGTTTATAATATCTTCCTATACCATGTTACAAGGCTGTGTCTGCACAATGCACCTTTTTGTATTACATTCAGCAATGACCATATTAAAAATACAAGCTTCAAATCTTGTTCTTTGTGCTGCTTAATTCAACTAGTAATCTTCCTCTAGGTCAGTAGGTTCCTTTCAGCATGTACAAATCCCCCTATTTTTTTTCTGTCTTAAATAAAATAATAAAACTATCACTTGAGAATACTTAGTTTGTTACTCAATCCTTCTTCCCATTTTCTTGCTTTGTTTTTCTTTTTGCGAAGAAGGAAGCAAGACAAGAGGAAAAGGCTTTTTTTCTTTTATCGTAGCTTCTCAATTTATTATTTTCTTCAAAGTAATTCCATATATATATATACACACACATATGCATCTGCATGTATACAAAGGTCTGTCTCAACAAGATTAGTTTTCTTGTCTGTTTCTAAGTAGTTGTCTAGCAAATAAAATTATCTTCTTGTGCTTACTGTTCTGAAAGACTGCAAAGGATATATTGAGGATCTTTTAAACCTGGCAGCTGGCAAATTGCTTTACCATAGCTGCAGTGTCTTTATTCCGTTTTTCAAGGAATGAATAGAATGGCATAATTTACATGGTGCCTTCCTTTAGGTGGCAGGAAATTACCGATAGTCACAGCTTACTGAACATAGGAAGAGTTTTGGGCATGGTAAGTGAGAAAAGAGATTTAGCATGTGTAGGAGAATAGATTTAAGAGTCTTGGTTAATCTTGTTTTCCTCAAACTTTCACCCTTAAAGTGTACAAGCAGTCTGTTTGCCATGCTACTTCTTCCATGGTTGTTTGAAGCCTGGAAGCAGTTCTGCTGCCTTTGCACAGCATGAAGCCCAAGCTGGTAAGTCTAGCAGGTTCTGAGGTCCCTGAAAGCAGAGTCGGCTCTCCTTTCTCTGCACTGTTTTCTTATTATGGGGAATTCACTTGAGTGCAGAAGAGAGGTGACCAAATTAATTCTACCAAATCAGAATAGAATCCTGAAGAACGAGCTTGTGGCAAAACTGCCTTCTAATTCTATGCTGGAAAGGGCTTTACTGTAGATACAACCCGACAGCCAAGATATCTTGGCTGTATCTGGCACAGGAGCTGTGCCATTAATCATGCTGGAACTTGGGTGCTGAGAGGTGGAGTGTCATTACACAAAACAGTATCTTCAGGATTCAGTCAGGTCCAGCTGGGATAATTCTTCACAGAGCTCTTTGAGTGTCTCATCATTGAACTTTCTAGTTTCTGCATGTGCTTCTGTGATTCAAATGTGTTTTTTACCATAGCCCTCAGCTTCCCTGAGTAGGGGAAATTTACTTTAAATAAAGCACTCATAAATATGTAAAGAAAATTTCAAGAGCAGTTCTCCACTTGTCCAGAGCCTTGTTTCTGGAAGCTATGTTGACGGCTCAGAATTATTTTCCTTCCTTGTCTGCTGAAGGAATTACAAAAAGAAAAGTTATTTTGTCTCTTCAGTGTGACATTTGGCATTTGACTGATGCACTTCCTTTAAGCAATATGAACTGACCGATGGCCCCACTATGACATAAAAGTAATTTTAGATGTATGAGACAGATGGGATTATAGGAAGCCTCTTTTGTCTGTCTGTACTGCATGTACTAGAGATCCTGCAGGTTTTCTCAGATGGGTGACTTGCATTTTCTGTTGAAAGTTGCAGATTATGGATAGTAGAGAATGTAAACACAATTGCAGGATGTACAGCTAAAATAATGTTTTTCCTACCAGTCTATACAAATTTGAACAGGCAAGTTGTAAAATCACTGGAACTGTTAATACATCAGGTAACTACTACCTATCTATTGGAATTACTGTTAGGATGATGTAAAAGAAAACCAACTCGTTGTAGCATTCGGTTTATATGTATTAATGTGGTTTCAGTGTTCTGTTATTTATGTTATAAGGGTGGAAAAATTAACCACGTAAAAGCTGAGACTTCAGGAAGTTCTGAAAAGGAGAAACTTAATGTTTGTCTGGATACTTAGCTCTAATAATTGCCTTTTAACTTTAGTTTTAACTATTTGCATAACTTTCTAATAACCCAAATAATCACAGAATCATAGAACTGTTCGGGTTGGAAGCAACCTTTAAAGGTCACCTAGTCTAGCACCGCTGCCATGAACAGGGACATCTTCAACTACATCAGGTTGCTCAAAGCCCTGTCCAACCTGACCTTGAACGTTTCCAGGGATGGGGCATCTACCCCCTCCCTGGGCAATGTGTTCCAGTGTTTCAGCACCCTGATCGTAAAAAATTTCTTCCTTTTATCTAGTCTGAATCTACCCTCCTTGAGTTTAAAACCATTATACCTTGGCTGTCACAACAGGCCCTACTAGAAAGTCTGTCCTCGTATTTCTTGTAAGCCCCCTTTAAGTATTGAAAGGCTGCAATAAGGTCTCCCCACAGCCTTCTCTTCTCTAGGCTGAAAAACCCCAACTCACTCAGCCTTTCCTCGTAGGAGAGGTGCTCCAGTCCCCTGATCATTTTTGTGGCTCTCCTCTGGACCCACTCCAACAGGTCCATGTCCTTCTTGTGCTGAGGGCTCCAGAGCTGGATGCAGTACTCCAGGTGAGGTCTCACCAGAGCAGAGAGGCAGAATCACCTCCCTTGACCTGCTGGCCACACTTCTTTTGATGCAGCCCAGGATACGGTTGGCTTTCTGTGCTGCAAGTGCACATTGCCAGCTTATGCCCAGCTTTTCATCTACCAGTACCCCCAAGTCCTTCTCCACAGGGCTGCTCTCAATCCCTTCATCCCCCAGTCTGTATTGATAGTGTGTGAGTGGCCCTGACCCAGGTGCAGGACCTTGCACTTGGCCTTGTTGAACCTCATGAGGTTCACATGGGCCCACTTCTTGAGCTTGTCCAGGTCCCTCTGAATGGCATCCCGTCCCCCAAGTGTGTCAACTGTACCACTCAGCGTGGTGTCATCTACGAACTTGCTGAGGGTGCACTTAATCACTTATACAGCCTTGCTATGAGATTCAATTGGTATACTCTTTCCAAAAACAGTTGATGCAGCTTTGCTGCTTTTAGAAATAGTGATTATACAAACTATAGACTGTGGATAAATTAGTCTTCAGTTGCATGTTTTAGTTTTAGTTTCTGCAAGTATCAGCTAATGTAAGTGGAAGAAAATTTGACTCAACATCAATGGTATCAAATGTAGTATTTCAAAATGCAGCTTCTGAATGTTCTCTGGTAATACAGTCCTTGCTAGGGTCTTTTTCTCAGTTTCTATTATAATGTGGCCAAATTCTCTAACGTGAAAAAGTCTGTAGTTCAGTCCCCACAAGTTACTGTCCACTACATTGTTTATTTTTATATACATCATTATTTGGCAAAATAGAACATTGTATGACAATATATTCTAAGTTTTTGAGAAGTTGTCATGCTCCAGGGTCTTCAGAGATTATCCTACTCAGAGTAGTCATTTCCATATTGCTTCAAAATTGTTTGAAGAAAACTAGCATTGAATATTATACTAAGGTTTTTACTGTGACTTGTGCAAATTGAAGTTGCTGGTACCTCTTGTAGTCTTCTTTATTGGTAAAGGCAGTCCTGATCAGATTTTCTGTGATATTTAGTATTTATTTCAAGAATTTGATTTACTTTTTATGAGCCTTTATATATAATTTATACTCTGTTTTGAAATTCTTGCATTCATTTATTGTTGCCTTGTATGCACTTTTTCTTTGATAATTCTAGCAGAGTTACATTTTAAAATTTACTTACGTCTCATTCAGAATGCCAATTTTATCTCCCCCTTTTGGTTTTTGTGGTTTGGTTTTTTTTTTTTTTTTATTTGAACCTAAATGTGTGTGTTTTACTTCATGCTCTTTTTTGGGATTCTTCATGTGCACAAAGCAAGCCTCAACCCCTTTTTTTCTGGACTGTGTCAGTCCTTATTCTAATACAAATTCATTTTGCTTTTGCTTGTACTTTCTTTTTTGGTATCTAGACTCACGTAAAAGGAACCATACTAGTTTACTTGCTTACAATTCTGGTTCAGTTCTTTAAATTTGCTCCCACAGATTACATTAAAGTAGTTCCTATGGTGACATGTCATCTACTGCATTTCATTTATCGTGATCAGTTCTATATTGTCAACAAGTGTTTTTAATAATGGTTTCATGTCCACTCGGTTTTTTGGGTTCAGTTTTATTTTGCTTAACTATTCCCATTGTTAAGTAGTATCACAAAACACTCAGTGATGAAGGTTGTCAATACAATGTCCCCCACTAAATATTCCAGATGGTACTTTTAAAATTTCAAGAATTGTCTTCTTATTTTAATATCTGGCAAAACACAGTGTAAATTAAATTGATCTGTAGGATTGTGCAAGACCTTCTGATATGTGAAGTAGACATGTTAACCTTGCTTCAAGAAGTTAGTATAGAAAAATGACAGAGATGTCACATCAAATAAAGGATGACACAAAAAGCTGAGAGATAAAATTTAAGCATTTCAGAGGTTTATGGCATAATGATACATACTTGGAGTTTTGAAAAGCCTTTCTCCATAAAGAAGTTTTCTTTCTAAAAAAAAAATTATAAAAACTTTAGATATCTCTTCCCCATACTGTTCTTTTGAAACTTCAGCTTGCTTGATTGCTGAATGAATGGTCCATGTGTCAGATTAACTCTTGAAATGTAGGAATACCTCTGTGATGTTTAATGAATGGTAGTTAGGCTTTTTCTTTGTTTTTAATATTGATAGTTTAGGTGAAATAGTTACTCCCATTTTGTAGTAGAAATGAAAATTAGAATTATGTTGAACTCTTAACAGCAGTCTTTGTTTTGGTTTCAGCTTTGTCTGTGTTTGACTTTCCTTCATCTTTCCTTACAGCATGAGTTTACTCTTGCATAGAAGCTTACCTCTGCACCAGTGGGTTTTTTTTAGCTTCAAAAATTGTACATTTCATACAAGTTGATCAGGCTGTGAATGTTACTTGTTACAGTAGTTAAGCACTCCAATGCATGACTTTGGCATAAATCTTACAACAGCTTGCTATTTAGAAGCTTCATTTGAATCTACTGGAGATTAGGTTACAGACCTGAGAGAGACTGTTTAGAAGGAGAAAAAGTGGAAAGGAAACGTTTAGGTATTTCTATTGTTTATGAATGAGCTGTTGCTTTTAACATTGTGTATTTCTTTGAAAATTAACAAGTGTTTGTATTTGAAATGCAGACAGCAAATTAGTTATGAATATGCATAATTGCAATGAAAAACAGATGCTTTTTCATGTTGTTCCTCAATTTGAAAAGGAAAAATACAAAGTGCAGCTTCACTAAAAGGCAATTTAAAAAAAGTATGTAATAGGATGATATTTTTACATGTAGAACATTTCTCTGTCCTCTTTGATTCTGGAAGCTGAACTTGTATTACTTAGTAGAGTGGTTTACATCTTTGTTACCAAGTAAATAGAATTCAGTTCTGCAAAGCGTATTTTGAAAGCTGATAACATCTTTTACAATCAATTATTTATGGCTTTTTCTTTTGCATAAATGCTTTTAAAATTAATAATTTGTTTTGTCTTAAACAGAAATTGTAGTTGCTGAAAGTGTTGTTGTCATTAAGAAACTGCTGCAAACCCAGCCAGCACACCATGGTGAAATTATTAAGCATATGGCCAAACTCCTGGATAACATTACAGTGAGTATTTGTGTACAGTGTCTTATTTTCCTTCTTGACTGATAAAAATCACACCATCTTCTTTGGATTTGGGCCATAAATGGAAATAGATATAAGAGAAATACAACATAATTTTTTATTTTTTACATAAAATACAATTTTTCATCATGTTAAGGAAGAGGAAATAGAAACTATCAGATGGCATCAATTTGTGCCTTAGATCTGGGAAGCTATTTTGAAAGAGATCCCTGGAAATGTTGAGTATTGCTAGTACCATTAGGCTTAAGATCATAGGCCGAATAGCAGGTTTAGAACATGGAGTAGGTGAGTTGAAATGAAAATAAGGGAAAAGCAGCACTTCACTTGAGGATTTTCAGCTTGTTGTTTTACTGATCTGGGTGGAGTTTAAAAAATTTTATTCTAAATCTTTTTCCCTACCCCCAAATCACCTGACCTTTCTGTGGTACCAGACACACTCTTGCTGTGTTACAATGTTTCTTGAGGTTGCATTTTTATCTTCTGGGTATTTAAGATTCTGTGGCATTTAACAGTAAAATTTGCATTATTGCCTATTATCTATCCTTAGATTAAATTGATGTTTAATTATATCAATATTTACTTCCCAGATTCTCCTCACAGTCCTAGTTGTTGAGAAAACATTTAGTGATCTATCCTAAATTATAGTGCAAGGCTGAAGACCATTAGCTACCTATTGCATCATACCCCAAAGGTGACAGATTTTGATCTGTCAATAATCATTTTTCTGTAGATGCTATAAATAGAACTGTTCAGGTTCATATAATTACGCGTTTATTGATGATGGGGCAGTAAATAGTTTCTAAATCAGTGAATCGTCTATTTGCCATAGTTGAATTAGGCAAAGTTTGGAATACTAAAAGAAAAAGGAAATGTGGTCTTCTCAGTTCATGCTTACTGAGCAGATTATCAGATAAACCTTTGGCCACTAAGAGCTGATGATCAAACTTCATGACTGATGTAAAGAAAATGTAATTCTACTGGATTGCTCATATCCAGAATCAAAAGAGGGTATAATACACTGCTGCTAATTACATATCAAATAAGTATTACCTATTTTATAATAATCACTTGTGTTTTCAGAAAGTTTGCGCAGTATTCTGATTGATAATTACAATCTCATGAATTGTGTATAATCTTATTATACACATCTTCTGGTACTTTGCCAAATGAGTTTGTTATCTTATTTCCACATACTTTACAAGAGAAAATAGTTGTTTTCTAAATATTCTGTTTAACACTTAAAAGAGTTTTGTAGATATTTTATATAATTAATACCGCTGAGTAAATATTTCAAGTTTTAAATATAGGGAATGTTTTCTAGAAAAGAAAGTCCTTTTTTAAGTTGAATAAGATTAAAAAAAAAAAAAGACATGCAGTACTTGAACTATTTTGATGTACTTATGTTTTCCACTAATGAGATTGTACAGAATATCAGAAAGTGGTAAGTAGGAGAACAGTCTGTGGAACAGAGCAGTCATAGGAATAAACTAAAAGTCAAAATATGAATCTGAATCATGCTTCTTATTCAAGAAGGAAGCAGTGATAGTGATGCTGTAGGCTCTCTAGGATGATTGTTGTACATCTTGTTTCATATTTATCCCTGTCTTTTTAATAATAACTTCCATGTATTTATCTTCCTCAGTATGTTTAGGATTTTGGATTAAAGAGTAAATTTGGAGGAAGTTCATATTTCTAATTTGAATGCCATATCATTATCCTGAAATAGCTTGCACCTATTACATTTGAAAATGGATGTATTCCTTCACAGAATCGCAAAATGGTTTGGGTTGGAAGGGACCTTTAAAGGTCATCTAGTCAAACCCCCCAGCCCCTTCAGACACTTCTGAAAAGGATAAGCGTATTTTTACACATTTAGTAAGGTGGTATTTGGATTATATAATTCCTGAGGATCTGAGTTTGAAATTTCAACATTTAATAAAGGATTACTGGAATTCCTGAAATCTGCATGTGTATTTTAAACATTGTTCTTACTATGACAAGAGTGGTTGTGAGTTCACATAACACAGTTGCCTTGGGTTTTGTCTGCTGTAAGACATAGAGACACAAAGCAAGGATTCCTGACCCCTGTTACATTGACATACAATATACATATGTACAGACACACTTTTGTACACGCTTATTTTACACAGTTGGGTTTTTTTTTTTCCCCCCCTGACCTTTTCTGTCAGGGAAAGTATTTCTGGGCTCATTTTTAAATTGTGATTGAAACTTAAGGGACCTACCCTATTACTCTATGCAAGAGCATACCACTGTCTTTAAAGGACTCTTGCATTTGGACATAGCAGAAGCAGTCTTGATATGGTCAGCTATGGTCTTGAATGAACTTGAAAGTAAGTGGAGGGTGGGGGGAGTGTGGGCAAAGAAATTCTTTGGTGTTTCTTGGAATTGAAATTAATTTAATACTATGTAAAACACAACCGAAAGCATGAACAGAATTAAATACAACTAAATAGAAAAGCACTTACGGTAAAAATAAACTTTTTGATTGTTCTGTCATTTAGTTTAGGTAAATGGTGAACACTTAGCCACTAAAATAAATGAAATCGATGTAAACTGGATGGAATACATTTTTGGGTTGATGCCTGAATTTTTCATTCATGTTGTTTTAAATTTCACTTGTGTTACCCTGAGATTGTGATTGTCAATTATGAAGTGCCTAAAAATCTTTCGTAGCAATGTTTCTTTTGGGTGTTGTAATCTGAAATTTACTCATTCTTATCTTTATCTTGTCTTCATTCTTGTCTTCATCTTATTCATCTACAGGAGCCATTTAGAAAGTGATAGGATGGATAGTAAGCTAAACATATCTGACCCACTATAAAAAATATAAAAAAACTACTGAGCTTTTGTAGACCATTGACTCTCATTTACAGTAAGGCTTAGGACTAGGTCCATTTCGGTTTGCCCTTTAATTGTTTCTTACATATCTGAAAAGGGTGCTTATTTTTCTTCCTTTGCTTTTGTATGTTATCATTTGTACCTTAAACTTTTATCTCAGGTGTGCCCAGGCAAAGATTTATGAGATCTATTTTGTGTGTGATATTTGTCAAGTACTTAGACCTATGCATAGTATAGCTTGATCTAGCTGTATTCCGGGTACTTTCCTCCACACGCTTCAAAACTTGTAACTGAGAAATGCATGTCTGATGGTGTTCTGAAGATAGTAAGCAAGAGAATAATTAGATTTCTTTAAACTTCCAGTTTTTAAAATCATAACAATGTTTCCATTTGGCTATTAATGTGTTAATACCATCATCATGCTTTACAATTTAATGACTTAGTAAGATGCGGGCCAGAGATCTAAGCAGTGCTAGTTTGTGCTAGGTGTTCACTCTGAGGTAGGCTTAATTAGTTTTGTGTGTATAATTCTTAGAGTGACAGGAGTTTAAAAAATATGCATGTGGGAAAGGACCATTTAAAGAAGGGTGACGCTGACTGAGTCCAAAAGTCCTCTTAATAAAGTAGCCTCATCTTCAGCAGCACCAAAAGCTGGTTCTTTAGGGAGAGAGCTTAAAGATAAGAGCAATTTCATTGGGATGCACCTCCAATGTGCCTTCTGAGCCGCTGACTGGAAGATTGGGTTTGCTATCCACATCATCACACTAATCTAAAAATTCTAATCTTTCCTTGTATTCCATATCACTGATCAGCCTTTCCCTCTTTTCTTTGTCTTTCCTGATACTAGTGTGGTTTTTGAAGTGGGGTGACCAGAAGTGCACATGGTAGTCAGAGTATGAAGGAGAAGTTTTATAAGTGACATAATCGTATTACTTGTTTTGTATTTTTTATCTCACTTTCCTGAGGTTGTCTGCCTTTTGACTTCTGCAGAACATTAACTTAACAATTCCACAATTCTCTGAAAATATTCATGATTCCAAGAAATTTTTCCCTAGAAATATTTTGGGGTCCATCAGTATGTGTAGAATTTTTTTTTAAGTCCTGTTATTAATGCTTCAAGGCCAGCTGCATCACTTCTGCCCAACTTTTAAGTATCACTAATAAGTCAACTTAACTGTTCAGGCTCTGATTTAGTTTAGATTGCCTTGAATAATTTTCTGTCAGCAGACTGTGTTCTCACTAGATAGCCCTCTTCTAGGTTACTTGCAAATCCGTTGAACAGCACATTTTCCCCTATAGGTGCCTGTGGGACATCTGATGATTGCCTTCCATTGTAACTGGGTTTATGTCTTTTTTATTATCTAGTCCTTTTTTATTCAACCGAGTGCCTTTCCACCCTGTAAAGGATGACATTTTCAAAGATGTTGTTGAGGGGCTTTTTCAAAAGCTTTTAGAATATTCTCTTATCAAATATGTGTCATTTAGTCATATAGTCTACTCATTTAGAAAATCTTTCCTTCAAAACACTTGTGGTCCAGAATTTGTTTAAGTGCAAATACTTGCAGATTTAATCTGAATTAAGTTTTAAAGTAGGTTGGTTAGACTGCATCAATTAAACTGGATTAACATGAGACACTTTTGTTTGCATGCGAAGTATGCCTCTTGTGATTTATCTTAATCCATTTTAGCAATGAATGAATGTAAATCAACCTACAAAGAATTAGGTCTGAATAAGAACGTCTGGACGGTGTTATACATTTGTGTGTTTCCTCATGTAAACAAGCTGCGGTAGTCTCCAAATTAGTTTCTGCCTTTTTCTGTTTAGAAAAATAATTTCTGATAGTACATTGTACCCAGTAGTGATTGCTTTCTGGGTGATGGGAATCTTGTAGTTCTGGTGTGATTTTCCTCCAGACTTTCTCTTACAGTACTACTAGGGCAAGGTTTTTTTTCTTTTGATAGCTGGTGGATTCTGATATCCTTGGGTTTTTTACTACAGACTTATTCCTAGTTCCTTCTGGAATGTAAGAGAGAATGTGGGAGAAGTCTGAAGTGTTTTCTAATCTAGAGATGAGGAGGAGCACTTCTTGATGGGATAAAGACAGGGTAAGGTGTTGCAAATTTAGAGGAAAAATAAGATAGGTGCATTTAACTTTGAAGAGCTTAATATGTGGGGAAAAACATGTCACTTATGGAAGCAATTAAGAATTAGTAATTCCTGCTTTGGGCTGGGATTGTTACTAGAGTAGGTGACTGGGAGATTTTGACACTGCTGTGTCCATACATCCAACAATAACAAACTTAAGTTCCTCTGCAGTATTTCTACATAAATACTGCTTATTGCTATGTTTCTGATGTGGCTTCACAGCAAAAGCAATTTGCTTGCTTTAATTAAATTCTTCTTTCCCCCAACTCTGGGAAGGTGTCACAAGGTATGACATTCATATGTTGATATGTATTTCAGTTCTGCAAGCTTCAGACTCCAGCCACATTCTTTTTCTTAGGATACACTTTAATAATGTATTTTTAAACCTTTATGTAAGTAATGCCTTAATGAACAATTATCATAATTTTATCATTTTTTTACTTGCTCTAAGATCTATGTAATGTTTTAGAATTTGAGGGGAATATGTGGTCTTAGGGACATTGTGTCCAGGGATACTGTATACTGAACTTGAAACAAATAGCTTGAATAAAACACAATTTAAACAAAACCTGTATATAACTATATAAGAGGTGGCAGTCATCAGTGGAGACCCTTTTTTAAAGGAATTTTGTGTGTCAAGGTTCAAATAATGGCAGAGTCCTTGAAGGTCTATTGTTTGAAAACAAAAACCTAGCACTTGTCTTTTACTACTGTTCTTTCCTGTGTACCTTTTCTTCTTGCTGCGAGTCTGACATTTCAAATCAGCTTCATCCCTCTTTCCATTTCTGGTTCCAAGTAAAATTTTAACAGTTGCTAGCTATGCAAATTTTCTTCTGGATGCAGAGAATTAGACCTCATTTATAATCCTACTATCTCCTCATTTTGTGACAAATCTGGAAAACCAGAATTGGCAATTTTAAGTTGTACTTTAGCCTAGTATGTTGTGTAGCAAGGTTAAAGCTGAACTATAATAGTTTTTGAATTGTGCTGCTTGGAGTGATCTGTAAAATCTTTATAATGTCTTTCTCTAACTACTGTAAGTAACCAGAGTCTTGCTTTGAGGGGAGAGAGTCTGGCTGGTTTTTATTTTTTGGTTTTTAACCATTTATTTATTTTCCTCCAGACAGGTAATGGGTTAAAATGGCAGTAGAAACTGCCTTCTGGTACTAAGGCTTAAAAAGTGCACTTAACCACTTGCTCAGGGCATATGGAATAAAACATCAGGCAAAGTAATTTACAATCCTGTTTGCCTTTGAGGATAATGCAGAGCAGGGCTGAATAATGAAAGTATTATTTCCTGCATTTTTGTCAATTCAAGGTCCCTACTTAAGCTATACTGGAAAAGGCAATGAAGGTCTAGAAGTGGGTTCATTTCTTGTTTGCTGTTTTGAATGGCCTGGAAACAATGGCTGCAGGATCATGCACTTCATATTACATGGTTGAGGACTGGAAGACTTAAACAGGGAAGAACAAGTCTGAAAATATTGTGTGATTTTGACTCCAAATGAATCCAGTGACACAGAAACATTGGGTTCATCAGTTCGACATACACTTTTCATTAAAATGGCTTCCACTCAGGGTTTGATTCAAAAAGTCTCTAACTGATACTGGTTCTTGTTGCACAAAGTTGTGTTTAGTATGTACGGTATTTACATAGTAAGCTAACCACCTGGTTGAAAGGCAGAATCTCACAAGAAATTTCATCTGTCTTCCGTTGTTGCTATTTTTCAAATTAGGCTTTGTTTAGTCTATTTATTTTACATTATAAAACTAGTTTATTACTATAATTTTTCCCAGTTTGTAAAATGGAATTAACTTTAAAGAGTAAAACACTGCACTTAAATGCACACTGCTTAAATATATTTAAATATATTTTATTGTGGTTTTAAAGTGTAGTCCTGGGTTTGACTAGGAAAAGTACAATACCGATGCTTGTGTTTCATAATTAATACTATTACTGAAATTGGTCTGCTCTGTGAGCTATTTTTTGCTTTATGAAAAGACAATAATAGGAAAAGACATGTTTCTAATAGGCTGCTGTCCAAACTGTGATTCTTAGTGATCTCTTGTAGAATTCTAATATTTTAACAAGTCTGTAATGAAATATTTTAGAAAAATAAATCTAGCATAACTGCAGTTGCGTATATATTCTTATTTAGAGGTATCTATCTGCACAGCAGGCAACTTGAACTCCTCCAATAGTAGAAAATTTAAAGTACCACTCAATTAATATTCTTTAACCCAATTTAAAATAACAGATGGGGAGTGAGGTCTTAATGCAGTGTAACCTTTGGAACATTAGAAATAACCTCTTGCCCTTCTGAAATCAGTGTACAGTAATGGCATCAGTCTTACTGTTTCGCAGGCGAACATATTCTGACTGCACTTAAAGTTTTTATATTCAGCAGTTGTTCAGTAGCTTGTTCACCTCTCTCACACTGTAAGTTCCAAGACCACTTAAATTTTTTGTCAATTTGCAAAAAAAATTTGTCTGCATCTCAGTCAGTATGTATGTATATTTATGTATGTTAAATCACTGTGTTAATACCACTCTCGATACATTATGTTACCTCTACCTTAAATACCTTTTCCATGTTTAGAATTAGCATTTATCTCTTGAGGAGATTTTGTGTTGTTGTTGTTGTACTCCTATATTCTGCCTTTCCATGATCTGGTTGCTTTCTCTTTCAGCAGAGGCAGTCCTCTCTTTTTGCCGTGACATGTCTGTTTGTATTTTTGTTGGCATGTGTATTTGCAACAATCTGAAGTATAGAGGCAGATATTGTCAGGTTGACTTTATTCAAAGCTGTTTGCAAACTTTTTGGAGCAGTAGAACATGTTTAATGATTAAAATTTCTTGTGAAGATAATTACTATTTCTTCAGTATGACTTAGTGGGCCATTTATTAGGGACTGTGGACCATAGTTTGGGAATTGGTATCCTGAACCTTGGTAGTTTACTTGTATTTGTTACCATTTATGAATGCAACTGGAAAGCAGTACTTTCAAATTTTCTGTGCATACAGGGTAGGATACTTAATAGTTGGTTCCCGTTGTAACTCTGAGAAATAGATATTCATATATGAATAACTGACAGAGCTGGAAAAGTAATTAAAACATATATAAAATATGCTAAGAATTAGTGCTTTGAGAACCACAGTGCTGAATTTCTAAAGCTTGTTTCTCCTGTGAATCCTGCCTAAGGCAGAACTTACGCTGGCTTAAGTGTAAGCATATTAAAAAAGATCACTGTATGGAGTAGGGAGTAATGGAAAGTGTTAGTACAAATGTTTTTTACGGTTTTAGAAGAAGCAGCAAAATTAGCTGAAATTGCAGTTACAGTTGGAAGCTTTCCTTTTTTCTAAACTACAGTCAGTCATTTGACAGGATAGAACAGTTATGTTTTTTCCCTAATATATCAACATCTGTTCAGCACAAGTCTGTACAGAACGTGAGAGCACCACGGTCTGTAGACACGGTGCAAGACGTGCTTCTGCCTAGAAGAATTTTCTCATTGCATGCTTTTCTTTCTTCCTCTCAAGGAAGGAGAACAATGTTTTCAGGGAGGTATGTAACACAGACGCAATTTCTAATTTGACCGCCAGGTAATATAGGGTAGCTCACCTTTGAGAAGCGTGTGTGTATATTATTTCATTTAACTCCTAACTACTTCTAGCCAAACTCTGCGTGGAGCATGAGCTTCTGTTTCCTTCTGTGCTTTTTCATTTTGCTTCCCCTCCGTCTGTGACAGTCCTGTGCTTTTGAAGTCAGCGCCACATGCTGGGAGTTCATCTAAAAACTGCTACTGCCAGTTATTTCAGTGAAACAGTCAAGTAGCTCCAAAACAGGGAGACCTGTGTGAAGTTTCTGGTCAGAGTATTTTCAGTTAAGGGGTTAGATCCTATTCAGAAATGAAGAGCCCTAATTTTGAACTCCTGTCTCTCCAGAATTCTGTGTTAAGCTGGCCTTGTACATTTGCAAAAATATGAATCTTTACTGTAATAAAATTTTCAATAAAAATGAAGGAAAGATAGCAATAGTCTTAAAGAAATTCTGGGGCTTTTAAAGTAAATAGGCAGGATTTGAGGAAGCTGTATTGTTGGAAACCATTCATGACTATATGAATGTAGTCTCAAAAAAGCAGTCTTCTTGCAACATGGTGTTTAGTGTAACCTGGTGGCACGAATTCCCAACCACTCCTCAAAGGCTTGGATTCTCTTCCCAACTGCCACCAGCTTGCACTGTGAACATGTCACTTCTGTGTGCCTCTGTTTCCATTTCTGCTCTGTTTGTCTTGTCAACTCGTAATGCATGGGTTTTGGGGCAGGATCTGTATCTTACATTTGTACGAATATTCAGTCTACCACAGTGGTTGAATTGAACAGTGTTTAATTTGGGTCTGTATTTCTTGCATGGCAGTTGGTTTTAAACAATATTTTGTTTAACTTGTTACTGAACACAGACACGTACAAGTATGCAAGTAGTCTTTGTGAATGTGTTAACTTACAGTGTGTAATGTTTTCTCAGGTTCCGGTAGCCAGAGCCAGCATTCTCTGGCTCATTGGCGAGTACTGTGAACGGGTTCCAAAGATTGCACCTGATGTTTTGAGAAAGACAGCCAAGAGCTTCACTAACGAAGATGACCTTGTAAAGTTGCAGATCTTAAATTTGGGCGCAAAACTCTACTTAACAAACTCAAAGCAGGTAAGCTTAAACTCAGAAGCATACTTACTTAAAGTCACGGTAGGTTTTGTACAGTCTGTATAGATCAGTGGTGATTTCTTTTATATAAGTAACGAAAACTAGTCCGTAATATTCTACAAAGAAAAGCTGAACATCAGTTTTCAAGAAATCTAACAGACTAAATCTAGCCACGAGTCTTTGAGTATGTGCTGGATTGTTAATGTGAAGGTAGTGATGAGATCACTGTTCTTTGCCTCTTTATTTCTTGGGGAAATTGTGGATTTTATGATTCACATAAATAAGAATGGTTTGTAAGTTATATTACTAATGTCAGATAGGAGATTTTCCAGATGTGATTTGCTGTTTTCTGGATCTAAGACCAGAATTTTCAAGGGATTACTGTCAATTTGAGGAAGAAGCCACTCATTTTTTGTTGGGATATCTTAAAGGAGATGCCAGCAAAAGGCCTTCTTATGTCTTTCCATCAGTGCTCATCTTAAATATAGTAACTGTTTTCCCTTTTTCTGTATTTCTTACTATTTCATTTTACCTTGTTGCCTACTATTTCACGTTACCTTGTGGAGAGGGTGGGTTTTGATCATCTGTAGTAAAGCTAATCTAAAAATGCCAGATAATACAAAAAGGTGAACTTGAATTCCAATTACTACTGTAAAAGTTTGTAAAATCAAAGATTTTTTTTTTTCCAAACGTGGAGGAAATATATTGTCTGAGATGTATACGCTTCCCTGGGCTGCTAGACCAGTTTGTCTTACAACAGCTTGGACAGCACAGGATCTTGTACCTCTGCAGCTGTGGTGTCATCTCATTCCTTCATAGCTATATCCAACTGCAGACTTGATTTGTCTGAGACTTTATTCTGTAGGGCATGTGGGAGATGAACTGTCTTGCCATGCATTCAGATAAGAAAGAATGCTTGTCCTTTGCTTATACAGTCTAAAATGGGGCAATAACAAAAGGTGACTTCTTTCTGTGAGTGCTCATCTTAACGAAAATGCTGACTGAGCTGAGGAAAGGTTGGTTTGATGATCTAAACTGTCTCCTTTCAGCACATTACCTAATATTTACTAATTTTCCATATAATTTTTGTAATTTTACACTGATTTTTCCACACCATATTTGGTCAAAAATCCATTGCCTACAAGGAGATGATGATTTCTGTGATGGTCTTTTTCCAGTTTCATGTCTTAATACATTTTAAACCGTCATTATAAGTGTGGCATAACCCTTTATTCAAATACAGTAATGATGATAAAGCAGAAAAAAAGGTCTCCTGAGATGCCTACTAAATGATGAATTTCATCAAAGGTTGTTTTCCTCTTTTAGTTTTAGGTTGTGGAAAAATAAATTGTCTTCTCAAGTGGTCAAGCTGTTCATATACAAAATGCTAAAAGAGCAGGTTGATGACTTGGCTTGATTCAAAGCTCCTTCCAAAGTAGAATATGATGGTTTTGCCTTTAGGAGCTGGCAACACTCTTCCTATATTTACATCCTTATTCCCAGGAGTAACCCTTCTTTATTCAGTCAATATTAAAACATTTCTTTCTGGAATTACTTCAGTTCCTGAAAAGTCCAGCCGTTTTTCAGTCTAATTTTTCAAACTTGAAGGCAAACCTTGTACATGTGACTGCTCAGTTGTCTGTCTGTCCATCTCCCCTCATCCCCATGTTTTGTCCCTCTGTATCCTAGCCCACCATGTAATACATTTTTCAATCCTTCATCAGTTTCATCCAAAGCCAATGGAGTTGTGAAAATCTCAAAGATACAATGTCACTTTATTGAAAAGTAGTGGTAGGATAGCCAAAAGAGACTCAATACCAACCAAACAGATGAACAGAGCTTTTTCACTAGGTGTGGGGAAGGCAGGTAAAACTTACCTGTTAAGTCTTGTTTGGAGAAAAGCACAAAATTCTGGAGGAAATATGACTGTTATTTTTTCCCTTTCTGTAAATATATTGCTTTATTTGCTGATAATTTACTTAGGCATATGTTCAAACACTTCATGCAGCACATTCTCAGCAATGGTTTTTAAGATTCAGGATTTTTTACAAGAATTTGCAGTATCCTTTAAATCCTGTGATCACCCCATGAAGTTTCAAAAGCTGTTTATAATTTAAGGAAGAGTTTCAGGTTCAATCCTATCTGGATAGATGTAATAAGAACAGGCTTTCCTCTAGTTGTGTACGTTGTTTGGTAAACTTGCTTCATTTTTTCATTACTTAGGGACATAAGAATCCTTATGAATGTGCTAGATAGCTGTCTAAATGGAGTTCATACAGGAGAAAGTGTTATGCAGAAAATGTCATCTAATTGCGTTAGCTGTTTCTTGTATATAGCAGGAAGAGTAAAGAGATTTTGATGGGTTTCTGTTGTGTAACACAGTAGGAGTCCCACCAGAAAAACTAGTCCTAGTGTGTAAATAGATTTGTCAAACGTGGTTTAGCACAATAGCCTTATCTTATGTACCTTAAGAATCAAGTTACTGCAAGCTAATGAGTGGATCAAAGAGTGGATAGGTAGCTGTTTCTCTCCCATTGTAGAGCCTCATCTATTGGTGATACTTGCGTTATAACATTTTTCAAGTGGGGATCTACCAAAAGGTTCTGCTAATATAGGATAGGCATTAAATTCTTAAATAGAACTATTGCCACTAGAACATTCTAGAAATGTTGCTGAAGGGTGAATTAAAGTATACCTTTCATATTAGCCAAACCAAAATGTACAAAACCCAGTAATAGATTCTAACAGAGTGGGCATAAAAGAAATTATATTATGCCTATATAATGAGCATGTCCAGATAACAGGCGATGTTGACATATGATAATAAATGTGTTATATCATATATCAGAATACTTTGTCTTACTGTTCTATGAAGCAGTTATGGTGTGCAGAGTCTGTCATATTTCACCAAATTAACGTGCTTACTCAAATAATTTTCAGCTTCTTATGGATATTCCTTTGTTGGAAAAACTGATGTGTATTCATTAGTTTATCTTTTGTTTTTAATTAAAATTGATTGTTTCTATTAGCTACCTCCATGTAGAAAAGCTTTGCTACTTGTTTGGTTGCATCGCCGTAAGACAAGGAAAAAGACAAGTGTTTTCTTTCTGTTTTCATAAGAACTATTTATACTATATATGATGCTTGCAAGGAGACTTCTTGCAGATAGGGAGCATTCTTCCATATAAATTTGTTGTGTCTTTATCTGTATTGGACAATATGGAAAAGATGTATTAGGGGAGAGGAAAGGGAGGAGGAAAAGGGAAAGGATCATGGAGAAAATGATCCTATTAAAGAAAATGCAGTCTTTCAGGATCACCTTTTTATGTAATTCCATGAACACTCACTGAAAAAGTGCCCACCATGATAGCAAGGCCCTCAACTTTTCCCATCCCTGTAGCAATTCACAAGCAAAGACCACTGTGTTTTGTGATCCATTCTGCTGAGCTTTCTGCCATGACAGCAAGTAGTCTTGTTTTGTTTTACAGAGAAGTGATGACCAAGGCTGCAGGAGGTATCCCTCATTTAGTTTAATTCATGCTACCTGGGAACCCTCCCTTCCAATTCCATTTAGATTGAACCGCTTAAGTCCTGCATAAATGTAGATTATGTGTATTCTGTCTGATGCAGTTGTTCAAAATTTTATACCCTGACATAGAAATAGCTGCCAGTAAGCTGTGAATACATAGGAGAAAGTTTTACCTTTCCCAGAGCTAAGGCAATACCTTGGGGGAAAAAATATCTTTTCACAGAACCACTGTTGGGTATCAGAGAGAAAAAATAAATGAAAAGTGTTCCACTGAAACGTTCTTTTTAACTATGGTTTTACTATTATTCTAATGTAATATGACTAATTTCTTCAAATCTTTGGTACCGTGAAATGCTTGCATACATTGTATTGTATGTGGTTAAAATTAAAACCATTTTTTGTTTACTGTGTATTTCACTTACAGGAGTTAACCAATATTCTGAAAAAGTATTTTTACATTTCTAGAAAAAACTTTAACTTGCATCCTCAAGGTGGAATTTATTAAACTGAACTTTTCTTAGCAAATTGCACATAACAAAATTGACTGGTTTTTTGTGGATTTTTTACATATTTTTCTACTCACATGATTGAAACTGTGTTACTGCTATAATAATATCATGATAAACAAGATATATATGCAAGGTTGTTTCTTTGTATGAAGAAAAGAAATCCTCCTTGACAATATATTTTTAACCCTGTGTTATTCATCCATTCTGAGTTGAAATACTAAAAATTTACTCCCTTATGATGGTATATTATTTTTGCTCTTTTTCCTCTTTGCTTGTATATAAAGAAAATGGTATACTTCTTTCAAATGTATCTAATGGATGCAAGTCTGTTCAGCACTATTGTTCTTGTTACACAACATTATTTCTAAGATACTGGGAAAGTCTCCCTGATTTTTTATATTCTTTTTTTAGTTTTAAAAATTTAACCGAATTATTAAAATAATTTAATACATGTTAATATTCTCAGACCTCAAATTAGGAAGTCCTATTACACTGTAAAAAGCTGTGATAATATAAGTTGCCCTCTTACATAAATAAATAAATGACCGATATTACTAGAGGCTTTAAGCTTCAAGAAAAAAATGGAAGAAGTCTTTTATCCTGGTTTTTAGAGGGCATCAGCAGCTTGCTTTTATGAAAAAGTAACAGCTAAATGCACTGCAAATAATTTGCAGTAATCCAGTTCAGTGATTCATGTGTCTGCTTTAATGGGTCATAATTCAGGATAAAGTAACTGAGTGCAGTCAGAGTGCAGACACTGCTTATGCCAGGGACAGTATCTCTTCATAAAACACACCTCAGCAGAAGCAGTTTGCCAGCCCCCTAATACCCTCTGATGTTTTGATGTCCTGCATATTTTTCCGATTAAGTTTTGAGTGCCATGTTTTTAGTTGTATTTCCACATTCATTATCCTCACGTAGACCCTTCAGCGGGTTTGCCATATATGATTATTTTTTTAATGATGCCTTTCTTTCCACTTCAGCAGTTTAATAATCTAGCACATGGCTGCTTCTCAGTACTCAGCATTCACCTCCCCAATACGGAAGAGGACATGTGCTTTGGCTTCAGAATTCCATTTGCAGCTTTAGAAATGCATATTCCCTGTGGAACAACATTTGTTTGACATAACCATTCATTTTTATTACCTCTTTAAATATGTTTATCCAGAGTTATCAATAATCATAAATAACTTGTATTCTGTTCTTGTCCTGGTTTTTTCCACAGACAAAATTGCTTACCCAGTACGTATTAAATCTCGGCAAGTATGATCAAAGCTACGACATCAGAGACCGTACAAGATTTATTAGGCAGCTTATTGTTCCGAATGAGAAGAGTGGAGCTTTAAGCAAATATGCCAAAAAAATATTCCTGGCACAGAAACCTGCCCCATTGCTTGAGTCTCCTTTTAAAGGTATAAATGCCAAAATCATTTGGTAAATGTTCATTGTGTAAAGGAATGTGGCAGCCTATTCTATTTCAAATATGCCCACAAATTGTGTCACTTAGCAAATACAAATGATTAATATGCAAGGGTACTCACTCTGTTTACTTGCTTTTCAGCAAGCGAGGTTTGCATGGTGCAAACACAGTGCATTTCTCTGATGATAAACCCTGACAAACTGATCCATTTCTATTCATGTGGATTTTAAATTTCATTTAAATAACAGAAGGTGTGTCTTTTGAGGAAAACTATTCTGCAGTTTAGGAAAATAGCTCTAGTCTTTTATCTGGACTTTAATAGAAGATTGTTAATGTGAGTATTGCAAATGTTTTATGAATCTGAAATAAATTGAATCTCAATAGATTAGGTTTTTATTATTTTTCTCCAAAGTCATAATTTCCCCTTTGCACTTTCCCTGTCTTTTTACAAGTAAGGACCATTGTCTGTCTTCTCAAATTAAAAGGTTATCAGGTTATCTTAATTAAAAATTCTGTTATTGTGACGATTTGCAATTTTAATTTTCATACTTACTTAGTACCAGTTTTGAAGCTCTAAAAGGAGCTCCATTTTGAAGAAAAACTATTAAAATTCTGGATGTGTTTGTGCCAAGACATGTATATGGATTGTTTAACTGTGCTGTCATTCTTAATATTCACAGTAAAGTAATTTTTAGAGAAGCTACATTTCAGAGCAACACCTCTAAACACACTGACTGATTAGCTTTTTTATTGACCATTATGGGGGAGATTATTGTAATCTATGGACTGAAATCAGTTTTTTGACCTATGAAGAGCTTCCTAGTTTATATTTATTCCATGACATTTGAGGTAATATAATGGCAATTACCTTTAGCCCTGATTAAGATTGCTCTTTGTGGTAGAGCTCATGGTGTTTGTGTATTTCACCCCTCCCCCCCTTTTTTAATAGATCGGGATCATTTCCAGCTTGGCACCTTGTCTCACACGCTGAACAGCCGAGCCACTGGCTACCTGGAGCTGTCCGACTGGCCAGAGGTGGCGCCTGACCCCTCCGTCCGAAACGTTGAGGTAGCTGAGTCGGTACGTCAGCATCATTAAAAGTAACTTCGCTGAAGGCACACATCAATATAGAATATTAGTCTAAAATACAAGTATTTAAGTACTACCTGTATGCTGTACTGAAAAACGTTGATGCATGTGAACTTCTGTGTTGCTTATTTTAGCTTGGAAACAGAACATTTGGAAACCTGCATGATGCTTGCTCTTTTCTTTTCAATGAAAGAAGTGGATCAACTGTAGGCCACTTCTGCTTCGTTCGTGGATAAAATGGTCTTTTTTTCCCCTCCACCTCACTTCTGATTTCATACCTCTTATGTTCACTGTGCTGCAGTGTGTTAATTGCTGTTAATGATGAGTGTAGCTGGACTACCAAAGAAGAAGGTGAGTGGAGGTTTGTGTACAAATCCAAGTCTAAACAGAAAAAGTAGGTAATATAAGCAAAAGGCGGTGCAAGGGGAAAAATTATATATGTTTTGAAGTGTAAAGCTTGGAAGAGAGCAGGGTTTACATTTGAGATCATCTGAGAGAATTAGGGAAGTTAATAACAGGAAAATGTCATCTATTAGTGCACTAGTCATTTGTTGACATTACAGGGCTGGTGTCCTACTAGTAACAGCTTTTTGTTACTGGGTTGTAAACTTTGACGCAAAGTCATATTCTGGTACCAGAGTTGTGATTTTATGCGTCAGGTACCAAGGGCCTACTAAATATCAATGAAAGTTATTGAACAGTAACAGAAATATAAATGTATTGGAATATAGTGGGCTGATGGCGCTCCTGGAGGTATGTCATTGTAACAGGTATACCCAGAAATGCACGTGGTCCTTGTTAGGAGCCAACTTTTGCAGTAAATTGCACATGCATTAATTTGCATATAAGATGTTAGGCATAGAATTGGTAGAGAAAATTGTAAAAAATAGGTAAGACTTGCAGAAGCCAGTGCACAGCAATGTGGTAGAACAAGCATTTCCTCTTAGTACTTTAATATTACTTGTCTACCTTCTTATATGCATTTCGGGTAAAGAGGTACTTTTGTGCAAACTACTGAAAACTTTTTATGGGGAGAATCTGAAGGCAATCAGCTCAAGTGGGGGATTGTAAATGATAGGGTTGGCATGAAAGAATATGTGGAGGCTCATTTGTCTATAAAAACAAGAATTATTGCAGGAAATTGATCAAATGGAGTAACATCCATCTGCAACATAATAGAAAACATCTCCCTCCAACTATTTAAAACTCAAAACAAGCATGAAAATAATTTCCCATGGTTTTTTGCAAGTGTTTTCTTCGGAGGGTGTCTCATTGTCATTAATTTTGTGGTTCCTCTAATACTGCATATGCTTACACATTGTATGTGAGTGAAGCTGAGTTGTGAAGCTGCAATCCACAATTAAATTGTCATTTATATCCAAAAGAATATTGGCTTTTTAAAATACCAGTTGCTGGGTGGATCATCACAAAGCTTTAGTAGCTTTTGGTGTTTAAGAGGAAGCCGCTGTGTTTCTAGAGCTGTACACCATTGCAGGTCACTGTTAGAGCTCTTTCAAAAGTTAGTGTTACTCCAGATCAGAGCGGTCACTGAGGCAGACCTGTATCACTCTTGATATAGTTGTCTGCCTATTTGTTTTTGTCCTGGCCTGAGTTTTATTTCTGCTTCTCTAGTAGTATAGGCGGATATGCAAAGAAAAAAAGTCTGGCCAAAGTATTGCCACGTTCTGGTGTTCTCTTGGTTGTAAGAATTACTTTTATTTGGAGAATTGCAAAGGAAGTGAAATATAATTCCTCTGTGGGTGCTGGAACTTCTGCGGCCTGCTGGGTCCACATCTGTTTTCCTCTTGAAACTTGGTATGATAAAGGTGGTGACTAGCCATATTTACCCTTTGTTCTAGACATAGGCTAAACTCAGCTGGATCTAGAGATAAAACTCTTAAGACTTCAGGTTCTTTTGGCATAGAAGTTTATTTATGGTTACTGATGCTTTTAATCTGCCTTAGTAAATCTTTTTCTAGACCCTCTAATAGACATATCTCACCTTTTATAGGTATGCACAAAACTTTTAGTTCTCCTAATTTTGTAAAGTAAGAGAAATTTAATAGTTTCTCTTGACTTGCTTAGAGGATTTATTTAGAAACTGCCTAATACTACTACTGTGAGTGTTTTTCTTTGCCATGTTGTGTGTATATTTTTGTATTGCTGGTTGTAAAAGTAAACTTAAGTTGAAATTTATTTACAGCCAAAGGAATGGACTGGAATTCTAGGTAAGACAAAGAAAGAGAAGCCTGCTGAAAAGTTTTACTCTGAGTCAGAAGAGGAGGAAGATGAGTCTGCCAGTACCAGTGCATCAGGTGGGTATTTGGAAAGCAACTTGCATCCCACTGCCTGGAGAACTGTATCTTCAGAACTGCCCATTACTTAAAAAGAATCAGACAAAATTTCAGAAAAAGCCAGAGCTATGTATAAAATCAGGAAATTGGGGAAATTTTTCCCCTTCACTGTAGCTATGCGATAACTGCTAATTTTACAGATCTGGCTTGTGTTTTTATAAAGTAAGTTACACGTTGCTCTGTTTCCCAGTTAATAAAGCTGGCATGCTATTTTCGTCCTGCTTTGAGTCTAGTAAGAGTAGTGAGAGTTTGTAACTGCAATTAAAACTAAAAGCACCTAACTTTTTGCAAGAAGAGTGCCCATATGCTTGATTGTTGGGAACCATAAGTCTTGAATGTTTTTTGGAATTCTTTGCTGATGAAGTACTATTTTGATACTATGTGCTGCTGTGTTGATAAATGGCCAAGCTTGTTTAACTGTGTAGTCTTTCATGGGGTTTATTCATTAAAATGTGTTATAGTGTTGCTCTTAATTTCTACGTGACGTTTTCTATTTATTATAATGGGGGTGATGATGGAAAAGATAACTGACAGCTGCCTATCAAGTTCAATGAGCAAAGGTTCTTTTGACCAGTTTCCCACTTAACGCCAGATGGGCAGTTCCCCAAGACAGCTGTTTCAGTAGACGTTAATACAGATCAGATATAGTGAAGAACATCTTCTCCCAGGTCCAGACTTTAGACACAGAAAATGTTTAGCATTAGAGACTTAGAAGAATTGTCAGCATCTAGTTGAATGGAAGAGGGGCACCTTAAAATCTGAATGTGGAGTCTTCTTCCCCCTCATTCCTAAACTGAGGAAATATGCATAAGTACTTAGGAGTTGTATCACTGAAATTAATGATCTCTGAAGCAAGAAAAGAATATATTCACTTCATATATTTGAATATTTGGTAACTATATGATTAATTAGAGGATGAATAATTTGTTTAAATCAGTGATTCAATCATCGTCATTATCAGTATTCAAGAACAGATTATCTAATTAAGCAATTGGTTGAAAAGATAATCTTGCAGTTAAGTGAATGTATAGATTAGAGAATTTGAGGTG